AGTGTAATAATCCATACATATACAGTACTTGAGACAGTGTGTATCAATACTTGTCAACAGTGTGTAACAGTCCATACATGTACAGTACTTGTCAACAGTGTGCAACAGAGCCCATACATATAGAGTACTTGTCAACAGTATGTAACAGTCCATGCATGTACTACTGTTATCGCCGCTGCTTCAGCTATAGTGCTGGCGTGTGATGCCATTAAATCTTTGACCTGTGACCTCGCAGATGTAGAAGTGTTTACAGACAAGTCCTGGTTCTGTGGTGGAATGTCTTGGGCTGGTGGCGGTGGCTGCCCGCCCTCTATGAGACAGATCGCCCTCTCTAGTGATGCTGAAGACCAGCCTTCTCCTGTCCGAGAATTTGTGCTGGGACGATTTACGCAATACTGTTTTTCTTGGAACACCATACTGATCTGCATTGACCCGCACTTGTAAGTACAGCCTAAGTGATGGCATACCCCTCGGTACTGAAATATTGTTGACTAATTACGCCTACTCGTTTCTGCCTAACCTGGAGTAATAAGACAATGCAGAATGAAGCGAAGCTAAGATTAATAGAGTTATGAATTTTGTGTTATGTCAGTATGTTTAATAAATTGTAATTGAGATAAAATTGTGAGACTAACTAATTATGTATCAGATGGATCACCTTGTAATATTATGAACGCTTTCTCCTCTGCAGGTTTTTGACCACATCAATAAATATTGAATGCGTCAAAAGACGGGTTTCAATCATTCCTTCTACTTGCCCGTAACCTGAACGTCCTAACTAAGGCGTTTACAGTCAAAACAAGTGCAGGGGGGCGTCGAAGGTTTTTCAACTACCATGAGGAACAAACGAACCACCAACGCCGGGTTTCAGCGTGGGACAGCGTAGATCGTCATAACGTCAGCACAAGAGACAGTGACGTGAGAGTGTCGTGTGTTTGAGTGACGTTTCAAATATCTGAGGAGTTGTCATAAAGTTTCGGTTCAAGCGTACAGGGTTGTGAGTGTTTGTTTGCACAAGCCAGCCTCGCACCCAGTGAACGAATATTCATTACACTCGGACAGTGTCGTAAGGTTTCGGTCGAGCGGACGGGCTGTTATTTTCATTCCGGACAGGCAGCCCACCCTCCCAGTGATTATACGTGTGTGTGTGTGTACACCAGTGACCATAAGAACAGCTGATCCGCCTACTAAGGCGTTTACAAAGACAATGAAGTACAAGATGTTCTACAACTTCAAGAGCAAATACATACTGTGAATTCTGTACATACCAGTGTTACTGCAAATGCTCCCATTAATGTTTCTTTGATGTTACCATGCAGTTAGATACAGGTTGTGCCATTACTATTGCCGCTAAGGACTTGTATGAGAAATATTTTTCTAGATCACTTCTCCTTACTTATACTGGTGAAAACCTTACACCATAAGTGAAATAAAAGTGGAAATTGATTACAAAAGGAAACCGTTTAAACTTCCACTAGTAATTGCTCCAAAAGGTTCATGTGCTTTTCTAGGAAGAAACTGCTTGTTCAAACTGGTACCCGATTGGAAAGAGGTGTTTTTTGTAAATCATCTTCATGTCTCTAAAAATGTTCCAGATGTTTCCACTATCCTAGAAAATTACAGTAAATTGTTTAAAGATGAGCTAGGATGTTATAATGGTCCGCAAGTTGAACTCACTGTTTCATAAAATTCAAAATTTCACAAAGATACTGTAGACCTGTTCTGTATGCCTTTCAATCCAGAGTACAAAATGAGTCACTGAAAATGGAAAGTGATGGAGTAATTGAGAGTTTCATGAACTTCATTTGGTGCTGCTGCCATTGTGTCTGTGAATAAAAGAGATTCAGATAAAGTCAGAGTGTGTGGTAATTTTAGTGTGACTTTCAAAAAATGTGTTGATGTAGTAATGTACCCTATTCCAAAGGTTGAAGATTTACATTCAGTTTTGATGAATTGTTCAGTGTTTAGTGTGCTGGACATGTCACAAGCATACCACAAATTTCCTATTGCGATTGAATCTAGTAAGTACAGTAAAGTCTGGTTTTACTCGGATATTTTTTTTCGCGGAAGGCCATTTACGCGGCACCTGTCGGAAGAGATAATTATTATTTACACTGTAAATTCTATAATGTACGCGGCAAGCAGCAGGGTGAGGTGCTGGACGCTGACGTCACCGCTGACATCAGACTTGCGCCGGTGACGTCGCAGACTGTGATTGGGCCACGTATCCCTACCACCCACGCACCCCCTCCGCTACGAGCTGTGATTGGTCTAGGCATCCTTGCCACCCCCGCCACCCACGCTCTCTGCCGCCGCGTCAGTCTCAATGTCTCCATGTATATTCACTCATTCCCAGGAACCAGTGCTTTTTTTCTTTCTACTCAATGGCTTCCGCTGGACCCCCACCACCCCCTGAGAGGCCCTGAACTACCATCGTAAAATTAAGATGAGATTTTTACTACAATGTACAGTATTGTGTCGGATATAGCCAAAAAAGGTGAGTCTGGCGGTCGGCCCAGTCTCTATTTCAATTAATCCCATAGGTTCTGTTATTTTATTTATGCATTTCGCTTGATACATAGACCTCCATGGGTTTAATTAACTGTGTAAAACCAGACTAGTATACTGTACAGGTAGTTCTGCTATAACGCGATAATTGTGTTCTTGTAAAATATCGTGTTATAGAAAATCGCGTAATAGAAATAACAGGGCTTATGGAGAAAATAGGGTTAGTTGCAGATTACTCGAAATCGAAAAAATTTAGTAGTTAGCCTAACACAAAGGATAGCACAGTCTAAATAAATGTTACATTCATATCTAATAATGAAATCATACAGTAAATGTAACACTTTACTTGATGGGGGAGAAGGGTGATTTTGAGGTTGATAAAATCGAGCTTCTCTTCAAGTGTTATATCCTTTCTTTTACGATCATCACCGGGAATTCTATCACCAGAACGCTTCTTGTTGATATTCTTCTTTACTATATTCACAGTTAATACAGTGGGGTATGCTATAACGAACGGATCCTACTACGAATATTCCTATAACGAACGGTTTTACCTATAAAATTGAGAATGCTATAACGAACGAAACTCCTACAACGAACATTATTTAATTTTTTTTTTTCTAATTTATTGTTTTTTTATTACAAATATTAATGATATTCTTTATTTCAGGGGTTTAGATGCATATTTATGCACTTTTTTACAATTTTTAAAATTTTATATTATATTTTTCAGTGTTAAGTGGTTGTATTTGGGGGCCTGGAACGGATTAATCCTATAACGAACGAATGCTATAAGGAACAAGGTTCTAGAACCAATTAGATTCGTTATAGCATACCCCACTGTACCACAAAATTGGAGAAAGAGTAAGCAAAAATCGCGTTATAGCAAACAAGCGTTCGCGTTATACAAATATCGTTCCTAATTCATAAATCGCGTTAGAGCAAATTCGCGTTATCAAAACACGCGTTATAGCAGAACTCACTGTATCTCACTATCAATACTCACATTGGACTTTTTGTGTTTAAGAGATTGCCTTTTGGTGTTCACTCTGGCCCTGCTATTTTTCAGAGAATAATGGATAATATGCTTTCTGACATTCCAAAGGTTGTATGTTAGTTAGATGATATCCTCAATGCAGGAAAAGACCAAGAAGGATCACCTAGATACGTTGTGTAAAGTTCTGTAAAGGTTGCAAGAGTCAGGTTTCAGATTAGATAAGAACAAATGCAAATTTGAGCAAAATTCTGTCACATATCTTGGTCATAGAATAGATGGTGAGGGCCTTCATCCCACAGAAGATAAACTTCTTGCCATAAGTCAAGCTCCACCCCCTAAAGATGTAACAGCCTTAAAATCCTTCCTAGGCCTGATAATGTTTTATTCCAGATTTCTGAAGAATCACTCCACTGTACTTGCTTCCCTGAATAGATTGCTAAGGAAGGATGTTCATTGGGTTTGGACCAAAGTAGAGGATGAAGCTTTCTCTAAGGCAAAAATGTTACTGCTACATTCAGATACTCTTGTACACTATGATGACTCTTTACCATTGTTTCTTTCATGTAATGCTTCTTCATATGGTATTGGTGCTGTATTGTCACACATTATTGATGGGTGTTACCGACCAGTTGCTTTTGCCTCATGTACATTAACAAGTGCTCAGAAAAACTATTCTCGGTTAGATAAAGAAGCCCTAAGCATGAACTGTCGGCAGTTCCTTTACTGCCGGCAGTTCACGTTGATTACAAATCACTGCCCATTGGTTTCCTTGTTCAGCCCAGAGAAACCTGTTCATCTGCCAGACTGCAAAGATGGGCACTTAAGTTGGCTTCATACAACTACAACATAGAATACAGGAACACGGCTGCTCATGTTGATGCAGATAGCATGTCAAGAGTCCCTCTGGCTACAAAAGTGAACTGTGACAGTGAGGTTGTAAATTGCTACTTGTTTGAAACAGACATCCTCACAACTGTAACACATCAAATGATCAAGAAGAAAACTGCAGTAGATCCAATATTATCCAAAGTTCTGATATATGCTCAGTATGGATGGTCAAGTACTGATGAGTGTGATCCAAGTTTACAACCTTTCCTACAGCGTCGAGATGAAATCAGCATTGAACAGGGGTGTGTTCTATGGGAACTTAGTGTCATAATTCCCACTGCACTGCAAGGGGACATACTTCGAGAACTACATGAGACACACCTAGACATGACAATAATGAAGGTAGTGGCAAGGTCCTATGTATGGTGGCCCAATCTTGACAAGCAAATTAAAGGAGTTTCTTCATGTCAAGTATGTCAATCCATGAAGGCAGATCCACCTACTGCACAAATTCATCCTTGGACTTTTCCTTCCAAACCTTGGTCAAAACTTCATGCTGATTTTGCAAGTCCATTCTTGGGAAAGATGTACTTTGTACTTGTCGATGCTTACAGTAAGTATCCTGAAGTAGTTCAAATGAAGAGTACTACAGCCGAGGCTACGGTAAAGGTTCTCCGTGAGGTTTTCAGTAGACACGGATTACCTGAGATTTTAGTCTCGGGTAATGGCCCGCAATTCACTTCAAAAGAGTTTGCGGATTTCTGCTTAAACAACCGGTATTTTGCATCGTACATCCTCAGCATATATAAACCTTCTACGAATGGTCAAGCAGAAAGAGTAGTTCAAGTACTTAAGTCAGCCTTACGTCAAGCTGAAGTACTAAAGCAAGATGCTGAGACTGTCCTACAAAGATACCTGCTTTCGTATCGCATCACTCCACATTCTACAACAAGAATCGCCCCTTCTGTGCTGCTGATGGGAAGGAAACTGCACACTCGTTTGGATTTAATATTTCCATCTTTTACGAAGAAAGTACAAGTAGCACAAGAATTCATGGCGAACCGAACTGTTTCACGTGTTTGTCGTGTGCTGAAATTGGGTGATTCAGTGCAAGTGAGAAATTATAGAGGAAAAGAAAAATGGGAGCAAGGTAAAGTGGAGAAAGTGCTTGGAGAAAGACATTACTTAGTGAAAGTTTATGATGGCTATGTAGGGAAAAGACATAGACCAATTGCTGAAGTGCCCTCAAAGAGTAAATGAGGAAATAGTCCCTGAGGAGGCTTTAGTACCGGTAGATGAAAATTCAAATAATGAAACCACTAATTCATATTCGAATCCTATTCCTAATGTGCTTCCAGATGTGTATCCTATAATGAATGAAGTAGAGCCTCAAATAAGTGAAACTGAAAATGCAAGTCCTACAGTTTCAGAGGTTTTGGGGCAATTCCAAGGTTCTCCTAATAAAACTATACCTTCTCCCAATGAGCGACTACCCGGTAGTTGCTTCCAGGAGATATCCAGAACGACAAAGAAACCCTCCTAGATACCTTAATGACTATACAACTTGAATATTTTCTTTATTTTATTTTAGTGTCTACTACAGTCGTTTCTGCTACAACGCGTGTTTTGTCAATGCGAATTGGTTATAACGCGATTGATGAATAGAAGAACGACATTTGTAAAACGCGAACGTGTGTTGGCTGTAACGCGATTCCACTCGAACGTTTTAAGTGTACTGTCGCTTGGCGCGGGGTTATGCAGTGCTTACAGTTCATGTTCAACATCACATGTTCAATTGATTCACGAGAGCTTCCCACTTCTCTTTTGTCTTCTATCCTGAGGGAAGTTGATAAGCAGTTGCAGCTCTTGGAAGACAATGACTACAATGCAGAATGGAGCACGATTCCAGTTCGTGGTGTTAAATATTTTTTGGCACCTCATGAACAGCTTCTTTATGAAAGAAGAAAGACGGCAAAGCAGCAAACATTAGACGTCTTTTTTAAGTCAACCCCCAAGAAGCAGACTGAAGACACTGAACCACAGTCATCCACTTCTGGAATTAGAGGTTTTTTCGTCCCAATCATGCAACCGAAGCTGCACCTGATGATAACGATGACAACTCTCAACTCCTGTCTGCATGACTCTTCAACCTCAACATCACCCTTCTCCCCCATCAAGTTATATTCATATTTTTTCAAGGTAAAGTGTTACATTTACTGTATGATTTCATTATTAGATATGAATGTAACATTTATTTAGACTGTGCTATCCTTTGTGTTAGGCTAACTACTAATTTTTTTTCGATTTCGAGTAGTAATCTGCACCTAACCCTATTTTCTCCATAATCCCTGTTATTTCTATTGCGCGAATTTCTACAAAGCGAGGTTTTACAAGAACACAACTATTGCGTTGTAGCAGAACTGACTGTACTTATAATATACAATACTGTACTATATTGTAACTTACTTCAATTACTGTAGTTTCCTATATTGCTGTGCTTTATTTTGTTAACATTCCTTATTAGATGATGGTTTAGTTTATATTATTAGGATATATTTCCATTTGATTAAGTTTCAGACATTTTTGGTTTTATAAGGAGGGATAGTGTTATATATTACAGGTACTCCTCGACTTACGACCTACTCGACTTACGACCACCCGGACATACGATCGCCGCAGTTGTATAAAATATTTTTCAAATTACGTATTTTCGAGTCCCGACGTTAGTGATCGTGTATTAGCCTCTGTCACATTAATATTATATAAATATGGGCTAAGGACATGTATTCATTATATACATTCTACCACCTAGACTATTGAGCATAAAGCTACATAAACATTTGTTCTTTCACACCTTCTCGGGTGTACAGCTCATAAATCTACAGACTCAACCCTCCGTGTGTGAGTAGGCTGTTTTAGATAAATGTCTGTGTTAAAGGGTGATTACTCTCCAACCACCAGGCACCAGACTCAAGAGAGCACAGCCCAGTTTCCCCAGTTCACAACTAGACCCGAGACTCTAATGTCGTGTCGTGAGACCAGCTCTCCAGGCTGCAATTCTCTCTAATTGTATCAGCTAATTACAAGCTAATAGCTAATGCTCATTAGTCTATCAATAACAAATAATTGTATAGACATGACTACCCAATATAACTAGAAAATCACCACATGCGTTTACATTAAACCAAGGAACAACGAGTGAAGAGAACAGTACCTGTGTGTCTTGTGTAACTTACAAGCTAAGATAATTACAAGTACAACCCAGGATAGCCGTGACGATTTCAACTATCAACCAATCTACGACTGTATCAAAGGTGACACGCCATGAGATTACTTGATATCTCACTCAGCTGCATCAAAGGTACCAGCGACTACCCTACACTCATTCAGGCAAGTGTTAACAAGTGAGATAGTTTGATATCAAACCACAGCTAAAACAATCGCGCTGTGTACTGACAAAAATTTGTGTTTGTAATTCCCTTTAAAATGGCTGGCAAGCGTAAAAGTGAGAGTTCTTGTGGTGCTGAGAAGAAAAAGAGACCCATTTTAGATTTTCTATGTATTATTTTTGCATTTTCGACTTACGACCAATTCGACTTAGGACCTGGTCGTCGGTCCCTAACCCTGTCATAAGTCGAGGACTGACTGTATTGTACAAATAATTGTATAAAGGAATAATTTATATTATTACAGCAACAACTGGGCTAATTGGTAACTCAGGCCTGCCAGAAAGGGCTAGTTATGCAATGATAGAATTTTCATTTAAATCAGTTGCTGTACATTTGGCTATGAAACTCGGTGTCATGCCTACGGTGAATTTCTTACATCTATTTTTTACAATCTTTTCAGAGGTTGAGCTTGCCAGGAAATATTGAAATGGGCGTTTAATACACACGCTGACAACGCCGTTCTTACTACCGCGGCGGAATTTTAGACAAGGAACTCACTATGGGTATGCGTTAGATTTTCAAGATAAGGTGTTTGACGGATTCTTTTCGGGAGATTAATGGGTTTTTTTTAAATACACAACTGACAAGAATAGAACTACATTCTGATGTTTGGGCATTGCACTGATCTAACCTCAGTAGCATTTGGAAACTCAGGCATCCCTCAAGGGCAATATTAGTATACCTGTACTTTGTCACTTACTGGCAGACTCAACACTCACTTATTTGACTAGTTTTACTAACAATAAATACAGTTGAAGCATTCAACATCACTCACAAGGGATCTTGAATGTTTCATCTGTAATCAGACATATCTAATACAATATAATGTGACTGGGTTCTCTCCCAATTTCAAATCTCCGAAACTGACATGAGGTATGACGAAATATCATAATCTCGGAGATACATGAAATTAGAGAAACGGTGGGCTCAGACGTCCTGAAGCGATAAGAAAATGGACGCCTCAGATGGGGGAATCAATACAGAAGGCATAGCTTCATGTTTTATGGGCTATTGAGCGTAATATGAATTGTGTGATATTATGTTAACTCACGTGTACGACCGTGGTCATTACATCATGAGTCAGATCAATTTCTTACATCTATTGTTTACAATATAGTCAGAGTCTGAGCTTGCCAGGCAATTTTGAAATGGACATCATCAAATTTTAGACAAGGGCCTACTGACAGTTTGATATTAGATCTTGGAGATAAGAAGACTGACAGGTGCTCCCCGACTTACGACGGGGCTAGGGACCCAAATCCAGGTCGGAAGTCTGACATAGATAAAAAAAAAAAAAAAAAGTCAAAATTGTTTTCCTTCAAAAAAAAATAAAAAAATCTACAATGAAATACAGTACAGTAAAAGTAATAAATAATGAGGAATGGATACAGTGTGACTGAGCACTTACTTTTAATGTAGTCAGCTGAATGCACACGGGACTATATTAATTGGATGAAGCAGAGGAGGAGACAGGGCTGGGTGGGTCATCAATGTCGCTTTCTTCAGACAGGTTTATGGACTGTGGAAACTTGCTGGTTGAAGGTATTGGATCATCTTGAGGGAGTAAAGAGGCAGCACTGGTGGGGCGTGAGGAGACGGCACTGGGGGACTTCTTAAAATAGATGTCCAATTTAGACTGCACAGTTTGTTTTTTCTTTTCATTATATATTTCTCTGTAGCAGGCAAGTGCATCTTGGATCATTCTGTCAACATTGGCATAACGCTCAAAATTTTTATCCATGCCGTCAAACATTTGCATTCCTTTATTAAATGTAGTAAATGCCTCTGCCATTTGTTTCACTGAAAACTTTTTGTGGGGTGCAGGTTCTTCTTCTACATTTTGTCTCTCTTCTTCCTCTGCAATTTTCTGTGCATCTAGTTCAATAAGATCCTCGTTACTGAGCTCTTCTGCTACACTTTCAACCAACTGTTCAACATCTTCATTATCAATTTCTAACTCCAGCTGTTTACCTAACTCCACTATCTTGTTACTAATGTCCGAAATAACTTCATTTTCATTAAATCCTTTGAAACTGTTCACATATCTTTTCAGGATTTTCTTCCATATTTCATTCATTGAATGTTTTGTAACCTGATCCCATGCTGCACTAATGTTCTTTATACATGACAAAACATTGTACTCCTTCCAAAACTCTCTGAGCGTTTTCTCACCTTCAGTAGCAGCAACAGCCTGAGCGAAGGTCGTGCGTAAATAATACGCTTTAAAGGCAGCAATAGCACCTTGATCCATGGGTTTGATGTAGAGGTAGTATTAGGTGGAATGTAGACTACCTTAACATCAGGGTGCATGTCGTCCAGGTGTGGTGGGTGTCCCGGAGCATTATCCAAAATCAGCAAAATCTTGAATGGAAAACGTTGTTGCAAACAATACTCCCTGGCTCGTGGAATGAAATAAGTCATGAACAAATCCTCAAACAGTGCTAAGGTCATCCAGGCTTTCTTATTACTGCGATAAAACACTGGCAGTGTGTTATCTGAATGATAGATCATGAAGGGCTTTAGCTTTAAACCAGCAACATTCCCCCCAACAGAAGTGTAATTCTGTCCTTGAATGCCTTGAATCCTGGCATTGTTTTCGCCTCTTTGTGGATGTATGTCCGTTCAGGCATGCACTTCCATAATAAGCCAGTTTCATCCACATTAATTATTTGCTCAGTCAAATAATTTCCCTCCACTATGACACGATTTAGCTCCTCCTTAAAAGCTTCGGCAGCACCAACATCAGCACTAGCTGCCTCTCCACTCACCTTAACATTGTGTAGACTGTAGCGTTTTTTAAATCTATCAAACCACCCATGACTTCATGTAAAGGTTTGATCACATTCATCTCCTGCCTGCTCCTTCAAGCTTTGGAACAGGCTTCTTGCTTTAGCCTGTGGTTAGAAGGCTTAAGGGTACACGCTTCTGTATCTGGTCTTCTATCCAGATCACCAATAATTTTTCCATATCGTGAATAGGACCTTGTCTTTTCTTTGAAATTATAGTTCCCTTTATAGGTGTTGTTCCTTTCACTACATCACGAATACGTTCCTTGTTCTTCAGAATAGTGGATATAGTCGAGTGTGAGAAACCTAGGTCACGTGAGATTGTTGTTACAGTTTTCCATTCTCATGCTGCGTTATTATCTTCATTTTCATCTCAAAAGTAATTGCCTGTCTCCTTTTCATTGGAGCACCACCAGCACTCTCACTTTTACGCTTTCCAGTCATTATAAAGTCAATTAAATACGATAACGAAAGTTCACAGCGCGATCAGTATAGGATACGATAGCCAAACACCAACTAAGCGCTCCACTGAGTGAGTGTACCCACGCGGCGACCCAAGCCGCGCCACGCTCTCTCCCGGGACAGAAACGTTTCGGTATAGAAAATGCGCGCATCATTTGAAAATATTTTGGTCGCGACTGCCGCGGTCGTATGTCCCGCCGGTCGTAAGGTCAGAGCAGGTCGTAAGCACCGATGGACGCAAGTCCAAGCAGTCGTAAGTCGGGGACTACCTATATTCTTTTCAGGATATTAATTACTTTCTAAAATATACAACTGACAATAATTTCAATAAAAACATCAGATTCTCTGATGATTGGAAATCAAAATGATATAACTTGAGTATCATTTGGCAGCTCATGGCATCCCCCATGGGCAATATTAGGGATTCGTCGCTTCTACTGGCCGACTCTCCTCAAAACTTATTGACAATTCTACAAACAGTAAATACAGTTGAAGCTTTCAACATCACTCACAAGGGATCTTGAATGTTTCATCTGTCAGTAGTCATATCTAACTTAATGTAACATGAAAGATTTCAGCTGCAATTTAAAATTTCATAACATAATGAGAGATACTAATGAATATCAGAGTCTCGGCCCTACTCGAGAGAAAACGGATGATTGAGGCATTCTGAAATGGGGAGAAAATGGATATCTCAATTGGGGAACTCAATAGAGAAGTTATAGCTACATGTTGTATGGGCTTTGAGCGTAATATGAATCGTCTGATTTTACGTTAACTAACATGTACGACCGTGGTCAGTACATCAGATCACCTGAAGAATCATCCCTTGCTTATTTCACCTAAAGATTAACTACCCAAACACTATTTGGAGGATTAGGTTAGGGTAGCATTAAGTTAGCTGATATTTAGTAAATTTTAATGAAACTAAAAAAGAGGGTTTGTGAAAACTTCCTCAGATGGCAAAGATATATGCAGTATTACCCCGCTTTACGCGGTTTCACTTTACGCGATTTCTCATATACGCGGTGCCTCGCCAGAACCAACTTTCACTTTCCGCGGTTCATCTACCCATATACTCAGGAAGTATAATTTTTTTTTTTTTATTTAGCTCATAAAATTCATACAAATTACCCGGCCAGAATATTATTTACATTGCTGGAATTCTTACAATTTGATGATCATTTTGAATATAAACATTATAAATTTTGCATTAGACATACAAATTTTAGATCTAATGTTTACTCTGAGTAAATATGTTATCTTTTGTGCAAAATATATGACATTTATATTCAAAATGTTCCTGGTCTTACAAGGAATCCAGCAATGTCAATTACATTATCCTAACTTTAGTGCGAGGTATTATTTGTTACTAAAAGTTAAAATTAGTTTTTTCACCCAACATTTCTCTGGTAGGGAGGGAAGGTGGGGGGAGGGTTGGGGCCGACCGACCATCTGGTGCGGTTGGAAGAGGGGGGGGAGGCAAGTTGGGGCACTTTGATTGACAGTGTCATGAAGAATATTTTTTTTATTAACTGAAGATATTTGTTTTAGCTCATAAAATTCATACAAATTACTGGACCAGAATATAATTTACATTGCTGGAATTCTTACAATATGATGATCATTTTGAATATAAACATCATGGATTTTGCATTAGACATACAAATTTTAGATCTAATGTTTACTCTGAGTAAATATGTTATCTTTTGTGCAAAATATATGAAGTTTACATTCAAAATATTCCCTGACCTACAGGGAATCCAGAAATGTAAATTATATTACCCTAATTTTAGTCTGAGGTATTATTTATTACTAAACGTTAAAATCTAGTGTTTCACCCAATCATTTCTCAGAGAGGTAGGGGCCAGTGAGCTGGCAAGAGGGGGGGGGGTGATTTGAGTCTATTATTTGAATGGACATTAACCTGGTGACTGTATTTCTCTTAAATATTAATTGTGTGAGCATACCATCATAAAATTTAGATGTTATTTTTACTACAACATAGGTATTGTGTCGGAAAAAGTGGAGTTTGGGGGTCGGGCCAGTCTCTATTGGAATTAATCCCATATGTTCTGTTGTTCCATTTACGCGGATTTGACTTTCCGCGGTACCCTGTGGGTTCAATTGACCGTGTAAATCGGGGTAATACTGTATACTGTACAGGTACAGTATATGAATTGATGTGCTTAAAGTTTTGTGAGATTGAGGACAACATCTAATCATTTCACTTATTAGCAATTTAAGCAGTTGGTTTGTTCTTTGTTACGACTTTCATTGTCGAGCTTTCTTGTGTGTACTGTACAGTATAAGTTCACTGTTGTGGCCATACGAGCTGTACACAAAGTAGCTTTAGTACTGAGTGTGATGACAACTTTCTGCCTTGATGTCGTACTTCTTATGTGGATTATATTTCAGGATGATGTTTGCTGTAAGGGTGAAGAAGAGCTGATGGTGGGAAAACCCAAGAAGACCTACTGCAGGAGGAGTGACCCGTTACTATCTGTTTCTGAGAATATGTTTGACGACCTCTGGAAGGTGAAAGATGTGAACGAATTGATGTATGGGGTCCTTCTGTAGGACTTCCTCTGTGGTCCTTCTGTGGGGGTTACTCTGTGTGGTCCTTCTGTGGGGTTTCCTCTATGTGGTCCTTCTGTGGGGATTCCTCTGTGGTCCTTCTGTGGGGATTCCTCTGTGGTCCTTCTGTGGGGGTTCCTCTATGTGGTCCTTCTGTGGGGGTTCCTCTATGTGGTCCTGTGGGGATTCCTCTCTGTGGTCCTTCTGTGGGGGTTCCTATGTGGTCCTTCTGTGGGGGTTCCTCTATGTGGTCCTTCTGTGGGGGTTCCTCTATGTGGTCCTGTGGGGGTTCCTCTGTGTGGTCCTGTGGGGATTCCTCTATGTGGTCCTTCTATGGGGGTTCCTCTGTGGTCCTTCTGTGGGGTTCCTCTGTGGTCCTTCTGTGGGGGTTCTTCTGTGGTCCTGTGGGGTTCCTCTATGTGGTCCTTCTGTGGGGTTCCTCTCTGTGGTCCTGTGGGGTTCCTCTATGGTCCTTCTGTGGGGATTCCTCTATGTGGTCCTTCTGTGGGGGTTCCTCTATGTGGTCCTGTGGGGATTCCTCTTGTGGTCCTTCTGGGGTTCCTCTGTGGTCCTTCTGTGGGGTTCCTCTGTGGTCCTTCTCTGTGGGGTTCTTCTATGTGGTCCTGTGGGGTTCCTCTATGTGTCCTTCTGTGGGGTTCCTCTGTGGTCCTTCTGTGGGGGTTCATCTATGTGGTCCTTCTGTGGGGATTCCTCTCTGTGGTCCTTCTGTGGGGTTTCCTCTCTGATCCATCAGTGGGTCCTTCTGTGGGGGTTCCTCTATGTGGTCCTTCTGTGGGGATTCATCATGTGGTCCTTCTGTGGGGGTTCCTCTATGTGATCCTTCTGTGGGGGTTCCTCTATGTGGTCCTTCTGTGGGGGTTCCTCTATGTGGTCCTGTGGGGATTCCTCTCTGTGGTCCTTCTGTGGGGGTTCCTCTCTGTGGTCCTTCTGTGGGGGTTCCTCTAATAATAATAATAATAATAATAATAATAATTAACGGTTTATTGAAAAAATTCAGCAGCCCGAAGGCTGAAAATATACCTTGGACATAAATGACTTATTACATACATTGGTGGTTTAACAAAAGCCTTCATTAGAGAAAGGTAAAGGAACATACAGTGAACATACAGATTAACGCAGGTGTTGAACAGCAAACTCGTAGTGTAGTAACTCCCTCCTAGATGGTGTTAGGAGGAACTCACGTGGTGTAGTAGTTCACTCAGATGGTGTTTATGAGGGACCTGGGGATTCCTCTCTGTGGTCCTTCTGTGGGGGTTCCTCTATGTGGTCCTTCTGTGGGGCTTCCTCTGTGGTCCTTCTGTGGGGGTTCTTCTATGGTCCTTCTGTGGGGGTTCCTCTGTGTAGTCCTTCTGTGGGGATTCCTCTCTGTGGTCCTGTGGGGCTTCCTCTGTGGTCCTTCTGTGGGGGTTCCTCTGTGTAGTCCTTCTGTGGGGGTTCCTCTGTGTAGTCCTGTGGGGGCTCCTCGGTGTGGTCCTTCTGTGCAGGTTCCTCTGTGGTCCTTCTCAAGAGGTTCCTCCATGGGGTCCTTCTGTGGGGGCTCTTCTATGGGGTCCTTCTGTGGGGGTTCTTCTATGGGGTCTCTCTGTGTTTACTTCTTACTTCCATGAATTAAACCTGGCAGTCAGTAGAAATCATGATGTCACATGATGCTCCTGTGCATGCTCAAGGTTGTGAGTTTAACTTGATCAGTTATAAGATAGCTTCTCTGTTACAGTGAGGGACGCTCTTTCTCAGATTGGCAAATCATTCAATGTGATTTTGTAAATAGTGTCACTGCAATTGACTTTGTGTGATAATTTTTTTTATTACAGTTGTGGAAATGTGTTCCTTTCCTATACCCCTGTGGTAACCTATGTCTCCAAATGGCCAATCTATGTGACCTAAACTTATCCACCATTCAAGTCCATCATTACAATACCAATATCCATTCTTTCATAAATAGTGATACAGTGATATTCTCGTTAGCTGGAACAATTGGTGCAGAGCACTTCATGGGAATGAGAGATTTCCGGGTAACGAAATGACTCTGAAACCCGGCAAAATCCCTCATCCCCAGAATTTTTCCGGGTACTGAGAAAAGTTTCTCAGAATTTAAAAAAAAATTTGCATTATTTCATCCTCGGAATTTGCTGATATTCAACAAAGTTCAGCTGAGCTAAATTCACTTAATATGGCGGGTGTGAGGTCTTCGTTACTTACCTGAGATAGTTGAAAGTGTCATGTGCCAAGTAAGAATTAACGTAGCTTAAACATCGCCAATGACACATTGCTCTCCATACTTCGGTGGCCAATCACAGCACTCCACCCGTTCTATAAGTGCCTGGCACTCTTAGTGCCTTGTAAACACATCTCTTTCGGCACCCCCATCCCCCGAAAAAAAGAACTGTTATATGTTGCTGCTCCTTCCCAACATGAAAGTACTGTACATTCATACAATTACCCTCACACAAAAAATAATTACAATATCTTTAATGGTGGAAAAGTTATGTCACTCGTTTGAGGATTATACTGTATAGTGTGGTTTGGTTTATGCAAGTGGAGAAAAATTCAGTTATGTTTTTTCTTCCAAAATGCCATTCATTTTCGTTTCTGAAACTGCCAAAGCACAAAAGAAGATGTTTTAAGCTATCATGTAAAAAAAAATCACTAAAATATCTTTAATGGTTCAAAAGATGTGGCAGTTTGAAAGTTTAAAAACTTTAACTGCCTTTTCTCCTTTTTTTTTATTCTGGCATTTAGCTGACTGTGTTACTGATAGCCTCATATACTGTATACTGTACAGTGGTCCCTTGGTTAATGAACACAATTCGTTCCAGAAGGTCGTTCGTTAACCGAAACCATTGTTTCAATGGGATTTTGGGTAATTGATTCCAGCTCATCGAAAATTACATAAAGTAAAAAAAATATGCAGTAAAGTACACTTACTTTGAGGTTTGTATGTAGAAGGCTCCTGGATGATGATGCTGATGTGAATTTGAAGTGGGAGGTGGAGGAGGAGAAGGGAGAAGAGAAGGAAGTGAGGGCAGAGGAGAAGCATTTTACTGCTTGGAAGGCGAGTCACCTTCCATGAAAATATCAGGAACCTCTGGACTGACAGATTCTGCAGCAGGAAAATCCTCTCTCCTTTTTGAAGTGGAAGGTTGAGGGCTAGCATCTTTTTCCCACTGCCTTTTAGTGAAGAAACTGCCAATTTTTCTTTGTGGGGCATTTCTCCACCTCATCATTAACTGATTTCTGAAGAAGGAGAGCACTTTGTCTTCAACACTACACAAAACAGGTTCTGTTGTTTCCACATCAGGGTGCCTTGATGCCAGTTTCCTGAAAATCTCCCAGTGGTAAACAACATCCTTTAAATCTGAAGAAGACATATGGTCATCACTTTCCCTCTCCTCCTCACCACTGTCAGCTTCTAACATCTTATCCAGTTGTTGCAAGTCTTCAGTAGTAAGTTCCTGCTCATGAGACATCACAAGCTCTTCCACATCATCCTCCTCCACTTCGAGACCCAATGACTGACCAATGGACACAATCTCCTGGTCCAACTCCGTTTCTTCATCAAATCCCTCAAAATCATGGACTGCTGATGGCCACAGTGCTTTCCATGCAGAATTGAGGGATCTAATGGAGACTTCTCGCCATGAGGACACAATCAATTTTACAGCCTCCAGGATGTTGAATTGTGTCTTCCAGAATTGTGCCAGTGTTAGTTCAGGATCAGTGGAAGTTGCCTGATAACACCTCCTGAACATTTTTTTCATGTACAGCTTCTTGAAGTTGCTGATTACATTCTTGTCCATTGGCTGCATAATTGATGTAGTGTTGGGAGGCAAAAACAACACTTTGACAAAGTCAAATTGAGCCTCCAAAGTGCTGGCAAGTTGAGGGTCATGACCAGGGGCATTATCCATAAGGAGAAGAGCCTTTAAAGGAAGTTTATTGGTGGTTAGATAACTCTTGACAGAAGGGCCAAACACCTCAACAGCCCATTCATTAAAGAGCTGTCTTGTCTCCCATGCCTTACAGTTGGACTTCCTATATACTCCAAGCTTTGTTCTTACCACTTTCTGTTGCTTGAACACCGTGGGGTTCTCAGAGTGGTAGACAAGCATGGGCTTCAGTCGGAAATCCCCTGAAGCATTGGCACCAAGCAATAGAGTGAGACGGTCCTTCATGGGTTTATGCCCAGGTAAAGAGGCTTCATCTCTGGTGATGAATGTCCTTTTGGGCATTATCTTCTAGAACAGCCCAGTTTCGTCCATCTTGAACACTTGCTGTGGAAGATAATTTTCTTCCTCCACCACTTTCTTAAACTCCACTAGAAACTTTGCTGCTCCTTCTTTATCTGCAATGGCAGCTTCACCATGCCCAACAACACTAAAAATGTCACTTCTTTTTTTAAATTTTTCGAACCATCCCTTGCTGGCCCTAAATTCTTCAAACTCTGTGCCAGAAGAACCAGGTTGATCTTCCTTTAAATGTTCGTATATTTCCTTAATCCAAATAAGAAGTAACCTCTCTGTTTCTGCTATTAATGATCTACCTTTAAACACTCTGCTAGATTTGTCTCTCACTTTCACTTCTCTGAACTTGTCTTTCTGTGCAAGAATTGTCGACACAGTTGATGCTGACACGCCATATTCCTTACTAAGTACATTTGTTCTAATGCTTTCTTCGTGTTTCTTCATAATTTCCTGTTTCACTTGAACTGAAATCGCCTTTTTCGATTTCTTTGGTGCCATGCTGGATTCAATACAGTAATTTCACCACTAAAATTTTAAGTTCACTAGCTGTAATTAAAGATTATTTTCTTTAAATCAACACTGCACTGCGCTATATATTATCAATATGTAATATAAATTTCAGAATGACCAATAATTGTACTGTAAAAACGTAAAAATAGTTTTTGTTCAAGAGAGAGTCAAGCAAGATGTTACCTCTACTGACCAGAGATACAAACTGACGCCTGCTGGGTGAGTCAAGGGGCTGTTTGGCGCGCTAAAAACTAGTTTCCTGTACTTCAATTATGTTAAATAATTGTTAAAATGAACTAAAAAAAATTAATATAAAACTTGTAAAATTATTGAATAGTACAACCTTTTTTATATTTCCTCAAATGGGAACGAATTTAAGCCCTAGAACTGATTACTGTATTGGTGGACTAACATTCCAGCTGGTGAGCAAGCGAAAACATGTTGAGAGGAATTCGTAAGGAATTCATTAACCGAATTTGTTTTCATTAACCGAAATGAAGATTCTTATGGAAGGTAATTCGTTAACCGAGGCGTTTGTTAGCCTAGGGACCACTGTACTGGTATATGAATTGATGTGCCTAAAGCTTTTTGAGATTGAGGACAACATCTAATCATTTCACCACATCAACTTATTAGCCATTCAAGCAGTTGGTTTGTTCTTTGTTACTGTACAATATAAGTTCACTGTTGTGGCCATACGAGCTGTACACAAAGTAGCTTTAGTACTGAGTATGATGACAACTTTCTGCCTTGATGTCGTACTTCTTATGTGGATTATATTTCAGGATGATGTTCGCTGTAAGGGTGAAGAAGAGCTGGTGGTGGTAAAACCCACGAAGACCTACTGCAGGAGGAGTGAACCATCACTACCTGTTACTGTGAAGAACTTTGACGACCTCTGGAAGATGAAACATGTGAGCGATTTAATGTATGTTATAGGCAGAGGTGATGACTGTGGAAAGGCAGAGAAAACAGATGATGAGAATTATAGGGAGCAAGACAGACCACATAACGATGTGTACAGCGAGGAGAAAACTGATGATAGTTATCTAGAGGAAGACAGACGACGTAAAGATGTGTACAAGAAGAAGAATATAACAACATGTAATTATAGTTATCTAGAGGACACCAGACGACATAAAGATGTGTACAACGCGAAGAAAATAAAAACCCGTAATTATAGTTATCTAGAGAAAAGAAGACCACGTAAAGATGTGTATGGCATGAAGAATATAACATCAGATGATAATTGTTATCTAGAGGAAAACCTACCACGTAAAGATTGGTACAACGCGAAGAAAATAACAACATGTAATTATAGTTATCTAGAGAAAAGAAGACCAGGTAAAGATGTGTATGACATGAAGAATATAACATCAGATGATGAATGTTATCTTAAGGTCAACAGACCATGTAAAGATGTGTACAAGAAGAAGAAAATAATAGCCCCTAATTATAGTTATCTAGAGGACAACAGACCACGTAAAGATGTGCACAAGGAGAAGAAAATAACAGCCCATAATTATAGTTATCCAGAGGACAACAGACCACGTAAAGATGTGTACAAGAAGAAGAAAATAATAGCCCCTAATTATAGTTATCTAGAGGACAACAGACCACGTAAAGATGTGCACAAGGAGAAGAAAATAACAGCCCATAATTATAGTTATCCAGAGGACAACAGACCACGTAAAGATGTGCACAAGGAGAAGAAAATAACAGCCCATAATTATAGTTATCCAGAGGACAACAGACCACGTAAAGATGTGCACAAGGAGAAGAAAATAACAGCCCATAATTATAGTTATCCAGAGGACAACAGACCACGTAAAGATGTGCACAAGGAGAAGAAAATAACAGCCCATAATTATAGTTATCCAGAGGACAACAGACCACGTAAAGATGTGCACAAGGAGAAGAAAATAACAGCCCATAATTATAGTTATCCAGAGGACAACAGACCACGTAAAGATGTGCACAAGGAGAAGAAAATAACAGCCCATAATTATAGTTATCCAGAGGACAACAGACCACGTAAAGATGTGCACAAGGAGAAGAAAATAACAGCCCATAATTATAGTTATCCAGAGGACAACAGACCACGTAAAGATGTGCACAAGGAGAAGAAAATAACAGCCCATAATTATAGTTATCCAGAGGACAACAGACCACGTAAAGATGTGCACAAGGATGACAGAAAGAAAATAACAGCCCATAATTATAGTTATCCAGAGGTGCACAAGGAGAAGAATAACAGCCCATAATTATAGTTATCCAGAGGACAACAGACGTAAAGATGTGCACAAGGAGAAAATAACAGATGTGCACAAGGATGAATAACAATAATTATAGTTATCCAGAGGACAACAGACCACGTAAAGATGTGCACAAGAGAAGAAAATAACAGCCCATAATTATAGTTATCAGAGGACAACAGACCACGTAAAGATGTGCACAAGGAGAAGAAAATAACAGCCCATAATTATAGTTATCCAGAGGACAACAGACCACGTAAAGATGTGCACAAGGAGAAGAAAATAACAGCCCATAATTATAGTTATCCAGAGGACAACAGACCACGTAAAGATGTGCACAAGGAGAAGAAAATAACAGCCCATAATTATAGTTATCCAGAGGACAACAGACCACGTAAAGATGTGCACAAGGAGAAGAAAATAACAGCCCATAATTATAGTTATCCAGAGGACAACAGACCACGTAAAGATGTGCACAAGGAGAAGAAAATAACAGCCCATAATTATAGTTATCCAGAGGACAACAGACCACGTAAAGATGTGCACAAGGAGAAGAAAATAACAGCCCATAATTATAGTTATCCAGAGGACAACAGACCACGTAAAGATGTGCACAAGGAGAAGAAAATAACAGCCCATAATTATAGTTATCCAGAGGACAACAGACCACGTAAAGATGTGTACAAGAAGAAGAATATAACAGCCCATAATTATAGTTATCCAGAGGACAACAGACCACGTAAAGATGTGCACAAGGAGAAGAATATAACAGCCCATAATTATAGTTATCCAGAGGACAACAGACCACGTAAAGATGTGCACAAGGAGAAGAAAATAACAGCCCATAATTATAGTTATCCAGAGGACAACAGACCACGTAAAGATGTGTACAAGAAGAAGAAAATAACATCAGAAGACAATACACATAACCAGCCTGATCATCACCACAAACTGAAGGTAAGAATTACATTTATTTAAAAGAACTAATATTCATCTTTTTCAACAGTGTGATTATATATTGCACTGTATACAGTGAACCCTCGCTTTACGCGGTCAATTGAACCCACGGCGCCCCGCGTAAAGCGAGAAACGCGTAAAGTGAACAACATAACATATGGGATTAATTGAAATGGAGACTGGGCCGACCCCCAAACTCCACTTTTTCCCGACACAATACGTACGTTTTAGTAAAAATAACATCTTAACTTTATGATGGTATTCACACACACATAATATAGAAGGGAACAATCAATAAGAGAATAATATACTGTAGGTTAGGTTAGAAAAAAACAAGGTTAGGTTTAACACTTATGTTAGTAGAAGAGATGAGTCGGCGTACGGGAATGGAGGCTGGTTCCGAGGCAGAGGGCAGGCTACTGGCCCTCAGGTGAGTCATCATCACTGTCAGCCACACTTATCAGTGCCTCCCTGACAAATCCCTCAAAGTCACCATCACTGTCTCTGTCACTATCACTGGCTTGGGCTGGCTGTGGTGGGTTGCGGGCAGTGAACTCGGTAATGCTTTGCTGACGGCTGGTGTTTATGTTGTCGTGATAAACCTTGATGTAGGGCTCCATAGTCTGCAACAGCTGGGTAGTGAAGACTTCATACCGGTTATCGTCAGGGTCGTCGGAAAGGAGGAGCTTCAGTTTCTCAACACGCTCGATGGCACCCCTTACATTACTATGCAATAACTTGCGTTCTTCTTGGGATGAAGCACCACCTGCCTATTTCACTGATGTCATCATCATCTAACATCTCGTCGGCAGCAACATCAGGATCCCTTATCACCTCCAGGATGTCGTCTTTGGTGGTCTCGGAGAAGCCTGCAGCTGTAACACTCTGCGCAGCTTCTCTGGCAAGGTCCACTGCTACTGCAACAGTCTGAACCTCACCAGTCACAGATTGACTCTGCCTCCCACCTGGAATACCTTGCAACACATGTCTCCATGCTTGACGAACCGTTGCTACAGACAGCTGATCCCATGCCTCCACCAAGAAGTCCACAGCTTTCTTGACGTTGAATTTTCTCCAAAAGTGTTTCACAAGTACAGTACTCCCTCTTTATCGACGGATTTTTTATCGACGGATTATTTAGCCGGATTTTTATTTTGAACTGTACTTGATATAATACATTCACGGAAATGTAATATTTTTGCTAAAATGACGTATGTATTACAGTGGAAAGTGGGATCAAATCGTGACGAAAACAATGACTTGCGCTTTCTTTCGTTCAAAAGATGTTACCGTAATCACTTTTCGAATGGTTTAGTTAAAAAACTGTTGTATTGTATTACAATAATATCCTAATTGACTTGAATAAATATTACGATACCATATTTCTGAATATTTTCATTAAAATCCATCAAAATCATTTTCCTTGTCATCGTCTGCAGCACCAAACAGCTTCTCCCAGTCCTCTCCTTGAACAGGGCTAGAGGGTACGTGTTTTTCGAATCGTTTTCAGTTAAAAAATTATTACATCACACGTATATTTTACCTAAACTGCGCCTGAATGAATATATTCTCGGAAATAAATAGTAGTTTTGCTGAAACGTGACGTATTTCAATGTAAAATAGGATAAAATACATGACGAAAACAAAAGACTTTACCTAACCTTCCAATGTTCTTGAGATGTTACTCGTTTTTTTAATAGTTTTCGGTTAAAATTCTGTTATATTACAATGATATTCTATTCATACTGTGCTTGATATAATACATTCACGGAAATGTAATATTTTTGTTGAAATGACGTATGTATTACAGTGGAAAGTGGGATCAAATCGTGACGAAAACAATGACTTGCGCTTTCTTTCGTTCAAAAGATGTTACCGTAATCACTTTTCGAATGGTTTAGTTAAAAAACTGTTGTATTACAATAATATTCCCTCCTAATTGACTTGAATAAATACTTGAATGGAAATATACAATATTTTTGTTGAAACTACCCGCGTTTCAGTGTAAAGTGTTGTAATAATAAATGGTAAACAATTTGCCTTGGGCATCCGGATTTTTGGACTTTTACTGTACTGTACACTGTTTTGTTTACTGTAAGGACCGATGTTCACTTCAATAAATGAAATCGTAAGTTTGCTAGTATTTTTGTCCACTTATTATATTATTATTTATACACTATTATTTAAGGTTATGTGTAAAGGAAACGCATTAATGCTTAAAGGTACATTTATTCAACATATGCTAATAATAGTTAGAAAAATTACGTAACCATCACGGTATCGACGGTTTCTTTATCGACGGCCGTTTACAGAACGTAACCCCCGTCGATAAAGAGGGAGTACTGTACAGTTAACCCTCACTTTACGCGGTCCCGCATTCCGCGTTTCCACGTTAACGCGGTGCCTTGCCAGAACCTCATGTGCTCACATTACGCGGTACGTGAACCCCATTACGCGGAGAGTGTCCGGCGCGACGCTATTTTTAGATTCGCCCCACCCGCCCGCCTGCCTGCCTGCCTCTCCCTCCTCCTCCCTCCGCTTGGGCAAGCGGCGCAGTAAGGTTGCGCAGTGTGTGTCTTTGTTGCGTTATCACTGACGTCATATGACGTATCAGACCTGTGATTGGCCATGCATCCCTACCCCCCTCTACTGCTAACTGTAATTGGCTTAAAGTATTATGACGTGTCCACCCGGGGGAGGGAGGGAGGAAAGACGACGCTTGACCTAGCCGCGGCAGTTTCATCCCTCCAGGCCACACCGTGTATAGTGCATCCATTGTTCTGTGATAGTGATAGTGACAGTGAAGGTGACTTTGAGGGATTTGTCAGGGAAGCCCTGACAACTGTAACTGATAGTGATGGTGATGCACCTAGTAATGGTGATTCACCTGAGGGCCAGTAATCTGCCCTCTGCCTCGGAACCAGCCTCCATCCCCGTATGCCGACCCATCTCTTCTACCAAATTTTTAGTTTTCTAACCTAACCTTTATTTTTCCTATGTTAACCTTTATCTTTCCTAACCTAACCTCTTCTATATTACTTGTTTTTTCATACCATCATAAAGTTAAGATAAAATTTTTACTACAACATAGTTGTGTGTCGTCAAAAAGTGGAGTTTGGGGATCGGCCCGGACTCCATTTCAATTAATCCCATATGTTATGTTATTCACTTTACACGTTTCTCGCTTTCCGCGGTACCCTCCGGGTTACATTAACCGCGTAAAGTGAGGGTTAACTGTACTTCTTGCTCTGCCAACTGTTGTTCCTCGTCCTCTTCGCTCTTGCTATCGGTGTCACCCAGGTTACGCAACTCATCCTTGGTGTTGGTATAGTCGCTCATTAGCTTTAACTTCTTTGCAGAGAATGCAGCTGTATTAATGACGTAGTGTTGGGAGGAAGGAAGACCACTTTTACGTTGGGGTGACGATCCAACAGTAGGGGCGAGTGTCCTGGTGCGCTGTCAAGCAGCAAGAAAATCTTGAATGGAACATTCTGTTGCTCACAGAATTTCTTCACGTCGGGAACGAAACAGTCATCAAACCAGGAGAGGGACAGAGTAGAGAACATCCACACCTTACGTGCGGTCAGCCAGTGGACATTTACAATAGCTTGGTCATGTCCATGCTCTTGTAGGCGTGCGGCTTGCGTGCTGTGTGGATTACCGATAACTTGAGCTTACAGGTACCGGAGGCATTGGTGGTAAACAGGACGGTGATGCGCTCCTTCTGCAACTTCCGGCCCCGACACTTTGTTACATTCTTCACAACGAAGGTCTTGGAAGGTAGCTTTTTCCAAAAAAGACCAGATTCGTCCATGTTAAACACCTGGTCGTCGGTGTACTGTCCTTCCTCCATAATCTCGTGTAAAAACAGAGGAAAATCCCTAGCCGCAACACTGTCAGCACTAGCTTCTTCACCACCAATGTTAATGTTGTTGATGTTGTTCCTCTTCTTAAACCTGTGTAGCCACCCAGAGGAAGCATTGAAGGGTTTGGGCTCTGCAATTCCCATCTTACGTGACACTGCAGCATACAATTCACGTGCGTACTCCTTAACTGAGCGCGTGCCCACTGCCATGTTCCGTCGCGCCTGACGAATCAAGTAGCTCACAAGTAATTTCTCCGTCTTGAGAAGCACCTGGTTGTGGCAATACTTGATCATAGAAGCACCTGTAGACTTTGTGATGTTCATGTGCTCCTTCATCTTGGCTGCATCCTTCTTGATCATCCGAATCGTAGATTCGTTAACACCATGCTGGCGCGCGAGATCAACCTGTCTTGTTCCTTTCTCCAACTCTTGGATGATCTTGTATTTAATTTCTTAGCTTAGGGAACTTCATATCTTCTTTGGCTTAGGGCGGCTGGGTCCTAGTAATGCAAGGTTTCTTTGTGGTGGTGGTGGTGGTGGTGGTCCAGTGGAAGCCATTCTTATGGAACAATAGATACCGATATACACGGTGTAGCCTGAAGGGGTGTAACTGGAGCCGGAAGGTCAAGGGGCTTGAACGCTCCCTTGGCGGGGCACGTTATATTACATTAAACCAATCACAGCTAGCGGGGGAGGGAGGTAAGGATGCTTGGCCCAATCACAGTCCGATACGTTATACGACGTCACCAATAACGCAACAAAGACATACACTGCTCAGCCTACTCGCGCCGCTTACCCCACATGGCGGGAGGGTGGGAAGTTTGAATCCAAAAATTTCGCGGCCCGAGAGGACCGCCAGCCGCTCTCCGTGTAAAAGAGTACACGCACCGCGTAAAGTGAGCATTCCGTGTTCGGCAGGGTACCGCATAAACGTGGAAACGCTTAAAAAAAAAGCGTAAAGCGGGGTAATACTGTTTTATTGTTACCTAGTGTTGTTGCACGTCCACATGTGTATTCTGCCGTGATTGGTCGATGCAAGGGTCTTTTCGACTGCGAAGACAACTCTGTCCCAGAATTCCAGCGACTGCTCAGTATGTTGACGAGCGAAGGTGAGTCTGGCAGCACTGTGTTCCTCTGTCAGTCGTTCTTTCTTGGCGGGAATCTTGTGGTAGATACCCGCCTCATGAAGCCGCCTCCGGACAGTTCTAGCACTCATGTCCAGCCGCAGATCTAAGCAAATTGCAACAGCATTAGAGAAAGGGTTGTCCTCAGCTGCTCTCAAGAATCTTGCATCGTCTTCAGGAGTAGTCACTCATGGCTGCTGATGTCTCTCTTAATCAAAAGAACATGCTGATTAAAAGCCACTAATTTTTTATACTAAGTAATTATATTTAATTGCCTGTGTAATCACCAATAACGTGTCAGTCTGATCAGTACAGTACTTACCAAGGTCGTTCAGGTTGCCACTCTCCTCTCATCTTCTATTCCACTTGATTACAGTAGCAGCTGATATTCCAAGATCACAGGATATGGTTCAGATAGAGAGTCCAGCTTCTCTTAGGCCCACAATGCGACTTCTCAAAGCTAACTGGGTGTCACGACGGTTCATCTTAAAATCTAAGAACTTTCTGTTGAATTCTATGATTTCTAGGGTCGCGACGATACCTTGGATGAGTTTTGATTGGCTGTCGACACTTGTTACTTGATCAATAAGCAAATTATCATTGTTTTCACAATTTTGTATTGTATTTCATTCAGGGGCAGATGCATTTATATCTTTAAACACTTGGTTTTTTACGTCATATGTCATTATTAGTTTTATTACTTGTGAAAATAAAGGATAAGGTGTGTGTGTATAACATATGGCCCAGCACCAAAAGGTAGCTTCCTAACATTATAAAGGATAGCATTACTCACCAACACGTCATTGGCAGCTACACTAAGTCCTCTCTTAACGTCAAGGTTACGTTCTTAAAAATGCGACTACATACAAAACAACGTTAAACTGATAGATTTTCCCCATGAGAAATAGATAAAATACGAGAGTTACATTCCTGAGCCTCCCTTTGCCCCATGAAATACATTGCAGGTACTGTATATATACAGAAAAACATTGCCATTTCTATAGAAAATAGTGCATGCATACAGTATACAACTACTAAGTTTGTATTGGTTCTCACCGATGGGCGGAGGTGGTACAGTGAGTGTGTGGTGGGTAGAGAATCTGAGGAGGCAGATGGCGGGAGCGGAGGAGGGTGGTGAGTCACTGAAACCACCTCGCCAAGAGAGCAGAGTGCGGCCAGACGAGAGAGGGTGATGCACCGTAAAATGTAGTCCGTTACGACACAAAACGACGTATTATCGGATCACCAGGATGTCAAACGAATTTCTTATCTCTAAAGTTAAGCGACTAGTACCAAAACAACGTTAAGCGGGACGACTTTAAGCTCAGACATACTATACTTGTCAGTATCTTTCGCAGCACCATACCCCTAGAATCACCATATTAAAACGATAAGTGTAAAGAGGTCATTTTGGTTTACCTGTGTGAAGCTAGGTCGAAACGTGACTTACGACAGCATATGGTTTCATTATATGCTATTAATGTTTTCATGAAATATAATGTGCATGTAAGAGCAGTTGAATCACCTAAAAATGTGTATCGGCTTAAAGTTATATGTCGGATTTGGAAAATAATTATAACTGTCCTTACCTGAGGAAGGATAGCAGTAGTGAGGGGAGGTAAAGGTTACGTATTTCTCTGGCTTTGGAGCCTTAGATTAAAGATAACCAATTAGACCCCAATAAATCAAACAACGTAATGTACTGTAAATACGTATTCCTATACCATAATCACCTCTTCCACTTCCATCACTCTTTTGTGTGCAAAAAATTTATATTTATGTTATGCAACACGGAACTCGAGTACTCCCCCCATCTTTCCCCCTCCCCTTTCCCTCCCACCCCCGCACACACACACTGTTACAAGATCGTCAGCTGATTCTACCTCTGGTTGTCTGGCTGGGTAACTCATTAGTTTCACACATTTCGTGGACGCTGGAGCATAATATAAATAATTAAGTGTTGAAATTACTAGCCGTGCAATTGTGACCATGACAGGGTCATGTGAGAATTTGTCTATGGGGTCTCTTTTGGGAGTTCCTCTTTATGATCTTTCTGTGGAGGTTTGTCGATGTGGTTCTTCTACGGGGTCCTTCTTTGGGGGTTTATCTTCGTGGTCCTTCTGTGGGGGTTTGTCTATGGGGTCCTTCTTTGGGGGTTTATCTTCGTGGTCCTTCTGTGGGGGTTTGTCTATGGGGTCCCTCTGTGAGGATTCCTCTGTGGTCCTTCTCTAGGGGTTCCTCCATGGGGTCCTTCTGTGGGGGTTCTTCCATGGGGTCCTGTGGGGGTTCCTCTGTGGTCCTTCAGTGGGGGGGGTTCCTCTGGGGTCCTTCTGTGGGGGTTCTTCTATGGGGTCTCTCTGTGGGGACCCCCACAGGGATACACGTGTTTACTTGTTACTTCCATGAATTAAACCTGGCAGTCAGTAGAAATCATGATGTCACAGGATACTCCTGTGCATGCTCAGGGTTGTGAGTTTAACTTGATCAGTTATAAGATAGCTTCTCTGTTACAGTGAATGACGCTCTTTCTCAGATTGGCAAATCATTCAATGCGATTTTGTAAATAATGTCACTGCAATTCACATTTTCTGGGCCAATTATGTTATGCAAACACATTAAGTGCCCAAAATGTGGTACAAGCAGGCATTATTGTGAAGATAAACACATTTGGTTTTCATGAATCAACAGAAAATTCCCAAGATATGTTAGGAAAGGTTTTGTTTGGTTTGGTCTTTTTTTCCAACAGTTTTTCTCCGACTTCAAAGCCTTTCAGTTCACCTGAAGAATCCCCCCCCACCTTTGCTTATTTAGCCAGGTCACGATGAGATATTTGCCAGAGTATTAGAGGAATGTAAGGAAGAGCTTAGTATGCTCTTAGCAAATTTGTTTCATATGCCACTAAAAATGGGTGTAGTACCAGAATCCTGGAGAATAGCAAATGTAATACTGATTTTCAAGAAGGGAGATAGATCACTGTCCTCTAACTACCGTCCAATCGGTCTAAAATCAATTGTAGGCAAATTACTGGAGAAGCACAAGTTGATCAATGATTCCCAACATGGCTTCACAAGTGGGCGTTCATGTCTGACTAATCTATTAACACTCTTTTTCAGCTGTTTTCGAATCAGTGGACGACGGGCACGATTATGTTGTGGTATATCTTGACTTTAATAAAGCCTTCGACAGAGTCCTCCACGAGAGACTTAATAAGAAAAGTGGAGGCTCATGTCATTGGAGGAGATATTATAAAATGGATTAGGGCGTGGTTACAGGACAGGAAACAGCAAGTAAGCATTAACGGCACTAAATCCGATTGGAGTAACGTCACTAGTGGAGTACCCAAGGCTCGGTACTTGGACCATTATTATTTATTATACAGTATACATAAACGACATAGATATAGGCATAGACAGCAACATAAGTAAATCTGCTGATGACACTAAAATAGGGCGTGTAATTAATCTGACGTAGACTCCGCAAAACATTAAGATCTAAACAAATTTTTCAAATGGTCTGATAAATGGCAGATGAAATTCAATGTGGACAAATGTAAAGTACTTAGTCTAGGAGATGTAAACAGAGAAACCAAATATCACATGAACAACATTGTTATAGAGAAATGTGAATGTGAGAAAGATTTTGGATAATGATAAGTGGGAATCTTAAGCCAAGTAAACAATGTGTAGTTGCTCGAAACAAGGCTAATAAAGTTCTTGGGTTCATACAAAGGAGTGTTAGTTACATGACTAGAGAGGTCATCCTAAAACTATATCTTGCGCTTGTGAGACCTCACTTGGATTACCAGGTTCAGTTCTGGTCACCGTACTACAGAATGGATATAGAATCCCTAGAAAGAATTTAGAGGAGAATGACAAGACTGATCCCGGGCATTAGGAACCTCGAGTACAGAGACAGGTTAAAGCATCTTAATTTGCACTCCCTCGAGAGACGTAGAGTGAGGGGCGATATGATCGAGGTGTATAAATGGAAGTCAGAGCTAAACAAAGGTGATACAACAAAGGTACTCAAACTATCCAACCAGGAGCGAACTCATAACAATGGTTTTAAATTAGATAAATTTTTATTTAGGTGCAAAATAGGTAAACATTGGTATGGAAATAGATCAGTGGATGAATTGAATAAGTTACCAAACTTTCATCGTTAACTGGAACACGCTGGAAAGCTTCAAACATAGGTTGGATGGATATATGAGCAATAGCTATTGGGCGTAAATGGGACTGCCCAGTATGGGCCAATAGGCCCGCTGCAGTTTCCTCCATTCTTATGTTCTTATTTGGGGATTAGGTTAGGGTAGCATTAAGTTGTCTTATTTTCAGTAAATCTTAATGAAACTAAAAAAGGGGGTTTGTGAAAACTTCCTCAGATGGCAAAGATATATATACTGTACAGTAGGGGGCAGTGAAATTTTGCTCAAAGCTGCACTCTTCAGGCATTGTTCCTTATACATATCTCAGACTCCATGCCAAATTTGAAGCTGATATGTCGAGGTTTAGTCTGCCGCATTTTCTACTGAAATTTTTAAATTTACCTACAGTACTAGCCAAACAGCCGCTGTGGCGGTGCAATGTTCTGTTCAGGTATTCCTTATGTTGAGGATAATTCAGATGATTCAACAGATATTCCTCTCGTCAATACTGATGCTGATTTTGTCCCTGATCCAAGGGCTCTGACAGACACCAGTTCACAGAACCGGACAAGACTCCCTACACTGGCTGCCGCTTGTGACCGATACTTGATTAGTGATTATGCTGGAGCTGCCATTGCTACTGCCACCTTAACTGACTATGGCATTATCACAAAGGATGACAAGAGTCAGGTTATTGGACCACATAAGCTGCGGGATGCGAGACAAAAATACCGATTTAAGAGGCAAGAAATTGAGATGGCTAGTTTAGATAATTTGACGTCACTCTATTTTGATGGTAAGAAGACCGCCACTCGTGTGATGATAAAGAATGAGAAGACCGAGAAATGGAGTTCGAGGATGATGGTGAAAGATCATTATGTCATCATGGTTGAGCCTGGCAATGAATATCTCACACATGTGACTCCCAAGACTGGACACGGAAAGCAGATTGCCAAAACTATT